TTTTTTTTGTCTTTATTATTCTTATTCATATCAATAATTCTGTATTTCCCATCATTATTAACTAAAATCTCATTTTGGAAAAAGACAACTAAAAATAAAGCAAAAAAACAAAAAGTTTTAGATGGATCGATCATATAGTAAACTACATGAAATGAGTTGAAAATTGAAAGATTATTTCTAATCCAATTAGTTAACATACAACAGAATACAATATTACATGTGTGCAAATTGTTAAATCGTGCTTGAATATAACGTACTGATATTTAAGTTGAGAAGTATTAGTGCACGAGTAGAAATATCATTTTAAATATAAAATGTTAATTCATATATAATGCACAAGCACCGATTACAGTTCCGATCACGCACGCTAAGGGAATGACGAGGCTGCCGCCGATCAACAAATCTTTAAGGTCGCCTGGTCGCATTGCACTCTCAATGATACGGTCATCACTTTTACCACGAGTTAAATACGGTTCAACTATACTGCGGCATCAGAATAGACATTGTAGTATGCTATATAGGAAAAGGTTTGGTATCTCATACATGATATTCGAATGGTTGCTTTTCAACCATTCGACACTTGGTCCTAATTTATCACCATACTTAATCGTGTTACGGATATGGATAATGCATCGCAGTGGCCAGCATGTCATGTTTTTGTATTTAACTCTCAATCGCCGTCGCTCACTATGCAATGCGCAGGCTATTTCTGACCGTGTTTTGTTTGCGTTCCCTAATTCGGCGTACAGTTCCGTCCTGCACTTCTTTTTTATATTGCTCTCGGAGTTCAGAAAGGCATGGCCCAGAGCTTCCAGCAGCGGCGCCTAAAAACGTAACGACAAAGATTTATGTCGACTATTTACGTATGTGATTTCGACATGATATTAGCATTTCTCCAATATCTGTGCCCTTTCCTGTGGACACAGCATCTGTACTTGTACTTACTGTTAACTTTTTCATTCGGTACTTCGCCAATTTCTTCTGTTGTAGGTTGACCTTCTGCTGGTCGATATGATGGTGTAGTTGCGCCAAAGCTTCCAATGAATGTTAAATTTTCGATTGTTTCATTCTATAATCATCAAAAGAAAAGACATCACGTTTCCGAAACATAACACGAAAGAAGGCAAAAGATTCCTGGTGTCCTACACTTTTCCTTCTTAATCATTGTTTCTTTAACAGCTACAAAACATTAGATAACGCATTTTTGAAAAGTATAGAAAATATATTGCTACTTACAAACGGGAGATTTCCATCGCGTTGAATTGAGTTATTAATTTTAGAATCACTAATCTGTCTTTCAGGCAAGTCTTCAGGTTGTACACTTTGCTTCTCTTGATTTTCATTTTCGTCTGAAGAAGGATATGTCTCTTCTAATTGAGGCGTTTGGTGCTATATTCATAAGAAACTTTATTCAAAAAACAATAATTGAAGTACAATGGAGTGTTATTAGTCTAACCAGCGTTGAGTTATCATTTCCACGTGGTGTAGTTGCGCCAACGTTTTCAACAGTGACTTGAGCACGTGGAATGTTACTAGTATGGAGATCAACAAGGCATCGAGCACGTAAAATATTGCTAAGTTTTGAAACTGTTTTCATATCTGATTTAATAAAGCACTAGAAGCAATCATAAAAGAACTTATTAGAACCCTATCAAATAAGGGATATCTTCTTTGCTTTTCTTTTCTGCACATGCCTCACATTTCTCGTTCAAAACGCAAATAAGATAAATTCACTATTATAACGTTACAGGTCATTATGCGAAATATTAGAGCCGTATCGAATAAGGGATATCTATATCTTTTCACTTCTCGGCAAATGTGAGCAAATGTCTATATAGACATTTGCTCACATTTGCCGAGAAGTGAAAAGATATAGATATCCTTTATTTGATACGGCTCTATTTTAACAGCTGAGTGCGAAATAAGCTTGACTAGTTTCCGCAAGAATACAATACATATACTCTCTATTTTACATTCTTACAATTCTTTACAGCCAATCAAACAAAAACCAAAACGACATATTCTCTCTATACACTTTTGTAGATCTCGCCTTGGGCTATAAGTCCCTATATCCAACCCCCCCCTATCCGCCCTTTACTAGCGGAGAAAAGGAAGCATGTTTCTTCGTTTGAAGAAAAATGTTAGAAAAGGACAGACAGATTGCTCCACGTGATATAAACGTATATATATAAGGCATTTTATTTCTTATAGTAGACTACTTTTATACTCGAACCTTTTGCAGTTTATATCTGCTTTTTGAACCTTTTTAAAGTAGAACTAAAGTGAGTCTGAGGTGAATGATTGACCCTGATTGCATTATGTTCCCGAAGAGAAAACCGGGTACAACATGATGAAATCAGTGTCTCAGCTATCATAAGAAACATTCCTTTTAAGAGACTCTTTTATATCAAAGTTGTTATTGCACAGATTTTCCGTCAACAAATGGAATAGATTTTCAAGTTTGAACAATTAATCTGTATGATAAACAGATCAAATTAGTTTTTTCGGATACCGCTGGGCAAGAAAACTTTCGATCGCTAGTTAATAATTATTTTCGAGGATTGTTCATTCTTTTCTGTGACATATACGCACTTAATTAATCTGTGAAAGAGATATGTCTCAAAAGAAAACTTGTCCAAAAATCCGATAGTGTAACATTGTGACTAGCGAAAATGAGACCTACTTAGATAAGGGAACAGAGAACTGAATTCAGAGTGCATCCCGCCACAATGGATTCTCATGGGATGCGGCATCCTAGTATAACGGATTCCAGTATGATGCGGCAGGCCTTTCGCAGCATTCAAAATTTCTTTTGTTATGGCACCCCTGCGCAGCGGTGCCAAATCGAAAAATGCTGGCAGGGGTGCAGGCCCCTGCCAGGTTTGTCTTAGGATGCTGTAGGCATTTTTTTTATAGTGTTGCTACGTCCGTTTTGTTGTGTTCGTTGTACCATACGATAAAGAGTGGCAATCTTATTTCTAAATTTTAGACATTCCAGTGGTGTTGTGATATCAAGAGGAGCATTTCTATTTTGAATTTATTCTTTAATTCTATGAAGTAACACTTTATATCGCTTCAAAGAACGTTGTACGGTACGATTGTACCAGTAACAAATAGCAATCATTCATCGGATGTGGTAGTGTGGGCAGGATTTATACAATAGCAAAACATTCTGGTTGCACCTTGATAGCAAGGATCAATGTGGACTTATATCAAGTTTTCGTTAAAAACCTTAAGGGGACCCCCCCCCCAGCGAAAAAAACTTCTTTATTTCACATCCGATTTCGATGGCGCTTACAGGAATTAATACTTACTGTGCACGTAACCGATGCTAAAGATTTGGGCACAAAATGTTGAAGCGTTGCCGTG